TCCAGCCCCGTGGTGCCTGGGAGGGCATCGCTAAACTGCTTGGGTCAGCGGGATGGGTGACCTGTGGGTCTGGGAAGCCCCCAGGAGCAGGATGAGGTGAAAGTTGGGGTGAAGGGGAGGGGGTTTTTGCATCAGGGGCTGGTGAAGGCTGGGGGGCACGGCCAGGCACTGCCCAGGGCATGGGGAAGGGTGGGAGCTGGAGGGGGGGCACCCTCGGGTCCCCCTTCTCCATCAGCGCTGGGGCTGATCCTGCTCCTCTCGTGCACAGGTTCACAGCAGCTTCAGCTTCCTGGAGGTGAGGGGGATGACGGTGCGAGAGCCCAGCTTGGTGAGTGGCACCAACACCCCGGGCAAACCCAGCCTGGGCACCCGCCCCACCTTGTGCCCACCTCTCCCCCTTGGCAAACCCTGGTCCGGAGCCCACGGCAGGGTCTGGGGGTGTCCTGACCCCCTCATTGCACATTGTGAGGGTCACCAACGATGATCTGTGAGAGCCCCACAGGGGATTTATCCTTTTGCGGCCTCTAAAGAAATCTTCTTACGGCCTCGCCCGGGGGCTGGAGGTGCAGGGATGCACCTAGGGGTGCTGGGGACGAGCGTGGGTGCCTGTGCCTCTTCCCCTCTGGCCGTGGCACCTCCCGCTTGGCAGGGACAAGGTGACAAGTGGCTGCTGGCTTGCCCAGGCGAAGCCAAATTTAGCAGGAGGGTGTTTTAAACCCCGTTAATCCTCTTAGAGAAAGGCATGCGTGTAGGGCAGATGCGGCGGGTGGGAACCGTGGAGGAGAGGAACGGGATGCCCTGGCTTGAATGTATCAGTGAGACAGGGCTGCGGTCTTCGGTAACCTCTTGTCTGTCTTTTGCTCGTTAAGGCATCGTTGGTGACGATGGCCCCAGCCTCTACGCAGGGTTTCTGCTGCTGGGCAGGCTACGTGGCTGAGCTCAGGGAAAGACAGAAAGAGGAGCTGGGCAGAGAGCAAGGGGTGCTAGGGGCTGAAACCCCAGGGTGGAGCAGGGCGAGACACCGACCGGGATACGGAAAGCCCAGGGGTTATTAATCTGCAGGCAGGGCCAGTCTCCGCTGCCTCCTGCAGCCCTGGGCACCGGTGGAAGCGCCGTCTTCACACGATGCCAGCAGATAATTGTCATCTCGCTCCCACGCCTCGATCAGCATGTAATTAAATCAGGGAGCGCGTTGCTATGGGGGTTTTTTATTCTGGTAGGAACCGAAGGCTAAAAAAGCCTCCGAACTCAGTAAGATAAATGCAGGGAGGAAACCTCCATCCTCCAGCTGCAGCTGCTGCAGGCAGAGTCAAGGCTATTCTCACCTCCACTGCTTGGGGCTGCTTTTCCATCAGCTGAGCTTGAATTTTGGGGAGGTTCATGCCTTATTCTGGCACATTACCATCTCTTCAATGTGTTTGATCCTCAATTCCTGGTGCTTGCAGCCTTCCCTCTGCTCGCAGTGCCCTGGCTGGGTTTATAAGCAGCGTCTGGGTGTTTGCAGCGAGGAGCTGGTGGCTGTCACCGTTGTGTCTGGGGGCTTGGGGACGCTGCGTGCTGCTGGCTTGCTCAGGCATCTCCCATCCTTTGGACCCTGCAGGTTGTCATAGAAACGGATGCAGCGTCTTACGCCTTCCGGTTCATGTCCTTTGATGATTTGGAGCAAGTTGTCATCCATGTGACCATGTCACTTAAGAAGGTCTTTCCAGACTCGTCCCCTGGGTAAGGGTCTTCTGCTCCTCAGGGGGAGTTGTGTAGGTACCAGAGCAACCTTTGTGCTCAGAAAGAAAACAAATATGGGATGGGTTCACAATTAGCACCTTTTAACAGGAGAAAACCACACTGATGGAGGCCAGACCCTGTTCCCCAGTCGCATCGGGAAGAATATTTCTGGCCACCCTGCACACAAGGGTGGTAGCTAAGCATGAAGCGGTGGGGATGCTCTTCTCCCGACCCGCTGCCATGCACCCCTCTGGTCCTTCCCCAGGACGCTGCTCAAGAACTCCCCCCCCAACCTGTATGAGAGGATCCGACAGATCACGGACTCACTGGAGGAAATGCTGCAGAGCAGCCCCGGGCCCTGCGGTAAGCCCTTTTTTTTCCCCACGTGCCTCCCCAACGCAGGACCAGGAGGGCTGGAGCACCCTGGGCACCAGGACAGCCTGGAGTCCATCAACACTAGCTCTGCTGACAGCCCCCAGCCCTGCTGGCAGGGCACCCATGGGGGCTTAGGTCCGAAGGAACCCTTCTCGTGGACCACCAGCCCACCCTGTCCCACGGGGCAGGAGCAGGTTTGAGGGGACGTAGTTCCCCAGAAAGGAGCAGGACAGCTGTGGGGCAAGGACGCTCACCGTCCACCCGTGAGGATGTGGAGCTGTGGATGCTTCCACCCACCTCAGATGGCATCGCTGCAGAGCCAGGAGCTTTTCCTGTAGCCTGGTTTGGAGTAGGACACCCCCCTTATCGTCACAGCAATGCACCTTGCCTGGGATCTCAGTGGATCGAGCAAAGCAAGCTGCCGCCCCCTGAATTGTGCAATCACTTTGGGGCTGGCGGTAGATCACGCACGACACTCTGGCCTCTTTGAGGAGGGAAGGGAAAGCCCTCACCATCCCTTTTGAGCCCTCGCCATCCCTCTCCTGCTTCCTGCCCTCCCCTAAGGTCTTCTCCGTATTCCTGCGGGAATGTCTGTCACCAAGACTGCCTTCTCTTTGCAGGGGGGTTTTCGGAGACCTACGCTGCTTTATGTGATTACAACGGCTTTGCCTTCCGTGAGGAGATCCAGTGGGTAAGCTGGTTTGTCCCACGGAGAAGTGACAGTGTGCCGCTCGGCAGGCAGGGAAGCAGGATGCTCAGAGAGCTGCTGGGGCTGGGAGCATCCCAGAGCTGGGAACTGCAGTTTTGCCCAGCTTGGGTACCCCCTGCTCCTTGGTGGGGTGAAATCAAAGTGCAGGTGGGGATGAGATGCCTTGGACCAGGTTGTTTCCCAGACTGTCACATAAGGAGAGCCCCTGGAAAACTGGGACCTCGCTAGGAGTCCCTAGTAAAGGAGAACCCTGCTGGGAGCCAGCTGGCTGTCCCCCTCTTCCTCTGGGACACTGACTCCAGCCCACCTCTCCCCACGTCCTTGTTCCCACCAGCCTGGGGGTGCGTTGCCTTCTTCTGGCCAGTCCATGCAGAAGTGGTCCAAGACCCACCAAGGCAACCCACCAGTTTGGGACACGTGCCCTGCTAGCCACAGCGCCGGGGAGGGTTTAGGGTTGGGATTTAGACAAGGGGCTGTCCAGGGGAGGGTCCCTGAGGGCTCAGCTCCCTCCAGCAGTGCCGGGCACCCGAGCCCTGCCCAGGACCAGGTGCTGAGCCTGATCCGTCTGTCCATCCGTCTGGGCAGGACGTGGACAACATCTACCACAGCCAGGACTGCCGGGAGTTCGACCTGCTGGACTTCAGCCACCTGGAGAGCCGGTGAGTCCCCCTGCCGTGCCACCTGCGGTGCCCCGTGCCACGCCAGCACTCCTCCTCCTCCTCCTCCACAGCAGTCATGGCCCAACACGCTCCTCCGCTTGTCTTAGATGCTTTTATTGCTTTACACGCTTCAAGGACGCCACATCTGCAGGCTGATGCTCCCCCGCAACAAAGTCAATGAGCCCCATCCCATGGGACGATGGCCCCAAAAGGCCGGGCAGTCTCCCCTGTTCATTTTTAATGCTTAAATAAGCCTGTGAGCTGTTTACAAAGGTGAAAACCAAACGTCACGGCAGCTTCTGGCAGCTTGTGGCTGTCAGGTGTTTCCCTATGCAAAGCGGCCGGAGCTGCTCACCCTCGCATAGACAAATACATCTGTAACAAATAGCTGTTATCAGGTGTTAACCCCACAGCGGGGCCGTGAGCTCTGGCTGTGCCCAGAGTCATCCCCGTGGGGCTCAACCACATCTTCACCCCAAGAAAGATGGAGTGAGGGTTCAGTTGAAACATCTTTCCGGTCGAGCAAAACCCATATTTTTCTTTACGTGAGAGTTCAGAATTAAAAACAACAAAACAACAGAGGCTTTGACAGAAGCATGAAAATATTTTGATTAATTTTATTGTCTCTGAGGAAATAACCTGGGGAAGCTGAGCTGTGTTTGTGAGTTGCTTTAAATTCACGGACCTCAGTCCTGCTGCATTGAACGGTGTCTTGGGGTACCCACTGGGGACCAGGCTTGGCTCAGCCTGGCCCCCGACTCGCTCATCCTTGTCACCGCGCAGAGATGTGGCACTGAGCGTTGCTGCCTTGTCCTTCAACCTGTGGTTCACCAAGCTCTCCTGCAAGGACTTCAGGCTGGTGAGTGCCGGTGCTGCAGTACTGGGGTGCACTGGAGGTGGCCGGATTTCCAGAAAGTCTTTCTTCTCCCCTGCCAGAACCAGGAGATTTCGGAGCAGCTGCTCTACATGCTCAGCAAATCGGTGATGCTGGAGGAGCTCGTGCTGGAAAACAGTGGGTTGAAAGCGTAAGCAAAGGCATTGCAGGGCTCTGGCGCGGTGATGAGCAGGGTCTTGGCAGCCCAGCGGTGCTCCCCTCGCGTGGGTGGAGCAGGGGGGTCCATGGACCCATGTGCCAGGGGGTGTTGGTGCCCCATCCCCTCCACAGCACGAAGCTCCCTGGGAGCAGAGTTCCCCTGGAGACCAGTGAACATCACTCACCCCTGGAGATGCTCTGCTTTCTCCTGCTGGCTCCTCAGATGGAGCCAGCTCTGCCACACGGGCAGGAGCCGATGCCATGTCCCCGTAAGGCTACGGAGTTGGTGACCATGTCTCCTGAAGGTGCCCGTACCTTGCTCAGATGGCTGACCCTTCTCCCCACAGTGACTTTGCGCAGAGGATGGCCCAGGCACTCAGCAACCATCCCGACTCTGTTCTGCACACTATCAACCTTGCTGGCAACCAGCTGGAAGACAGAGGTACCCAGTTTCTGGGCTGGGATAAGTTTACACCCATGAAAGCTGATGTTCAACTCTGGATCCCACCAGCAGCTGCCCCCAGCCCCGGGGACTGTAGCTCGGGGTGGGATGGACACCTGCCTGCGCTGGCATGGCCGCTCAGGGCTCTCTGCTCTTTCATCAGGGATCGTGGCCTTCAGCCGGCACGTGGAGAAGAGTCCTAAGGGTCTGCAGAGCCTCAACTTGGCCAGGACGATGCTCACTGCCAAAGGTACAGCCCGGCATCCTGCTCACTGCCTGGGTGCTGTAGGGAGCCTGGGCACAGCGGCGCTCAGGGCCCAGCTGACACCAAAGGGGTGGCTGGAGGGGCTGCAGGGACACCCTGGACAGGACATCTTCAAGGACGCGATGTCCCGCTGCCCCAGCTGTAGGGAAGTGCCCCTTTCTCTGCTCCACAACTCTCCCCGGTGCAGGGGACCCGCGGGCATCCGTCTCCCTCTCTCCTTGAGCAGGGATGAGCACATTATGCAAGGCCCTCGCGGAAAACAAAGCTATCGGATCCTCCCTCCGGCACTTGGACCTCTCCGGAAACCCCTGCACTCTGGCTGGGGACGACATCAGCGTGAGTGCCCGGGCTGTGATGGGGTGACACCCTCCAGGCTCTGTCCCCAGCGTGGTTTGGATGGCTGTGGTCCCCTGGGGTCTGCGCCCTGCCCTGCAGCACCGCAGGGACGGGGAAGTCACGACTGCAACACCTCCCTGCCTACGCGGGAGCAGTTGGGGGATGCACTGGGGACATCCCCCTCCACCTTTTTGCAGGAGGGTGGGAGATGCTACCTGGAGCAAGGATGTATCCCAGGAGCGAGTGGCATGGGGCTGAGTCCCTCTGTGCAGGATGCATCCCTGTGCTCAGTAGGAGGGAGGAGGCAGACTGGAACTGGGATTTCTGGGCTGCAGGGTGCTGGGTCAGGGGAGTGTCAGGGTCCTGGGCAAAGCCACTGAGCCCTTTCCACCCACAGAACCTGCAGAGCCTCCTCCGCCAGTGCCACTCGCTCTCCCACCTCAGTCTGTCCGGCACGGACTGCCCTTTGGATGCTGTGAGTAACCCCCCACCCGGGGGGCCCCAGCAACGAGCCTCTGCCCTCAGCCCTGCTCCCGAAACCCTGCCGTGCTGCTGGGGTCTGCTGGCACCCCGTCCTGGCTGGCACGGGGCCGCAGAGACAGGGTGTGCGTGGGGCAGCCAGCCCAGCGATGTCCCGCTCTGTGCCCACTGCTGTGGGCAGGTTGGGGGGCTCGGGGGTCAGCAGGAGGAAGAAGGGAGCCCCAGCATGGGGCAGACCCCCCCCCTTTGCACCCCCCGTAGCTTGTCCCATACCATCACCATCCGCCTCCGGCTGTGCAAGGGCCTACAGCCCCGGCTGGGTCCTCCTTGACATGGCTTGCATCCCCACCCCGGTAGCTCTTTGGAGCCCTGGTCCATGGATGCCACACCAGCCTCGTCCATCTGGATCTCTCCAAAAATGTGTACTCTCACAAGTAAGCTCCTGGGACGGCAGGGAAGGGACCGCGGTACCCAGGTGGGTGGCTGGTGCCAGGTGGCAGATGATGCCATGTTGTGCCCATCCTTTTCAGGAAGGTGAAAACCATCTCCCCTCACATCAAGGAGTTTTTCAGCCAGGCCTGTGCCCTCAGGCATGTCTCCCTGGCGGGTACCAAGCTGCCAGCGGACGCCGTAAGGTGAGATGGGGCTGTGAGTCCACCGAGGGGAATGGATTTGAGGTGAGCACGGTCTCGGGGGGAACCTCACTCGGGGCTGTGCATGTTGAGAGGGCTGGTGGGGAGGATGGATGGGGCTGTGAGAGGCAGAGCTCTAGGAAGGATGTCTTCTCCAGCACCCCGTTCCCACTGCCTGGACTGTTGGGGATGCCCCATGGCGGGTGCTCACGCCCCCGTTGCTTGCACCGATGGGTGGCTTTGATGACTCTTCTAGGGCATTGCTGCAGGGGCTGGCAGACAACAGTCGCATCAGTGACCTCCGCCTGGATCTTAGCAACTGCGAGGTGAGGAGCCAGCACCCATGGGTTCCATCAGTCCAGCAAGGGGGTCCCATTGCAGCAGTTGAGGGGGGCTTGCTCCCTGCATGGGAAGGTCCGTGCCCTGTCCGCCATGGGGCTGGGGTGACCTTCCCAACAGCAGGATCTTGTTTGCAGGGCTCGGTGTCTCCCCTTGTATTGATGTCTTGCTGTTTCTTCCAAGCTGAGATCAGCGGGGGCCCAAGTCATCCAGGATCTCATCCCCGACGCCAGCTCTATCAGCGACCTGGACTTGTCTGACAACAGTAGGTTGCTTTTTCCCTGCCTGGGAGAAGATCTCCTCCATCTGTGGGTCCAGCCACCACGGGCTGTTTGGCAGAGGCCGGCTCAGCCCCAGCACCCCATGAGCTTGTAGGAGTCCCCAGGGATGGGGTAGGGTCTGCTGCGCTTGCCTGTGTCCTGACCGTGCTGGCTAATGCAGCGTTAAACTGCGCTTGTCACCTGTAAAGTCCTTCAGGAGCAGAAGCTGCAGCCCTACAGGCTGTGTCTCGTGGGGATGAAGGCACCCAGTGGCTAGCAGTGGATTCCTGCCTGAGAAATTACCACCTCATCAGGCTTTTACTCCCCAAACCGACCACCCTTCTGCCTTCCCCGAGGCAGGCAGTCCTTACCTGTGCTCTTCTCCCTCTGCCCATGTCCTTCCCAGCGTGCCAGGCCTCTTCCATCACCTTCCAGCGTTGCATCCCGTGGTGGGCAGCGGTGGTGGCCCTCCCCTCTCCCCTCATTCAGCGAGAGCATCTCCAGCACGGGTTCTGGGGTGATTTCTTCATCCCCTCTGACCTCAGGACTTGCCAAAAATTCTCGTTTCACACCTTTCTTGGTACAAGCCTCTTCAGCTCACTGAATCCAAGGTGGTCTCGCATCGCTAGCTTAACAAACCCTAAGCACCGAGGCACTGAAAAGGTCTCCCTGGGCTGAAACTCTTCCCACCTCCCTGCAGGAGTTTGCAGCCTCTGCTGCTAACCTTGTCCTGCCATGGCTGAGCAATCCTAATGATCACAAACATGACCTCTGCCAGTTCTTAATTTCACCTAAAAGGTCCCAAACCTTAAAGCAGCCTTGCTAAGATCTCACAGCAGACCATGCAGCTCCTCAACAGCCAGATGGCTCTGGGAAAGCTGACGTGGTTTGGAGTCCTTCAAAAACACGTTCAGGCCACCAGTGCTCCCAAAACTTGCTCTCTTATCCAAAATCTGTGGCCAACCTTTGCCAAAATATGCTTCTGCTTTTGGCTTTCCCAGTAGAGGAGCTCTGTGCAGGAGGGACAGTCCTGTAGGTGGGTCTTGGTGCCTCTTGCCCTTGGCTGGCAGAGCGGCTGGGTGAGCAGATCCCTGCCTGTGGAAAAGACGTCGCCTTTGCTTGCCAAATTTCCCTGGGGATGCTGCAGCTGTGAGGATGGGAGTGCAGGCAGCTGCCTGCAAGCTGTGAGAACTCCTCCCATGTTGTCCAGGGTGGTGAGCGGGTGATGGAGGACACGTTCTTGGGGGTGGCAGAAAGCAAGCGCCGTTTCTAGCTCTGGAAGCTCTGCCCATGGCTCAGCACAGCCTTGGCACCCCGAATACCAGGAGTCCTCAGAGCAGGTGCTGCTTCCCTGGGGTCAGTCCTCAGGGACCCTGGCTCTGCATAGGTCTTCTGGTTTTGTTGGGGGAGCCGTGAAGAGGAGGAAGATGCTCAGGAGTTGCCCTGGGCATCTCTCCACCATCCCACAGCGGCAGTTTGGTGGCTCTGCAGGTCTCCTGTGAGGGACCAGCTTGATGCCACCTCTGTGGACTGCTTGGAGCATCCCAGTGGGTGTGTCTCATCTCTCGCAGGCTTCGACACCGACATGGTGACGCTGGTGCTCTCCATTGGCAGAAGCAAGTCCATTAGGCATGTCTCTCTGGGGAAAAACTTCAACATCAAATCCAAGTAAGTCCAAAGCCGCAGCACCTGGGCCAGGAGCCATACTGGTACCATGCACCCACCTTGACTCTTTCTCCCCATCAAAAGCCCATGGGCTGGTGGAGAATGCCAGGGATTGCCCGCCCGTCCTGCCTGCTCCACCCTAACGGGGAGCCTGGGGCCATGGGAAGGAACCATCACCTGCTCCTGGCGCAGTCCCTGTGGGACCACAGGCGCTACAGGGACAGGTCACAGCCTTGGGCAAGAGCGGGAAGGAGGACAGGACTCTGCTAGCTGCCCCTGCGGCCCCGGGAGATATGGGGGGGATACGTATGTAACCTCCGCCCTGCCTCTCCCCCAGGGACGGGTTGTTGGACGTCCTGCACCGCATTGTCCAGCTCACCCAGGAGGACGACTGCGTAAGTCTGGCTTGCCCTCAGCTTCCCCAGCCATCCCATCTGTGCTTTTGGTCGCCCTCCACCACCACTGAGCAGCCTCTGTGTTGGGGTGCCATCCAGATCGCACCCAGCACAGGCTGGGAACAAACCTCCCTCCCTCCTATTGCCATTCAAATCCTTCTGCTCTTATTTTCCTCAATCTGAAGCAGATGCTCAGACAGAAAAGCAGGAGCTGTTCACATTCGTCTGGCTAAAGGCACGGAGGAGACGCTTGGTGTAACATGGCTGCAGCCCAGCTTTCCAAAAAAACCTCATTCCTCCCCTGCCTGCCAGGCGTCTGAGCTAAATCCAGGGTGTTGCCTAAGCACCCATTGCCCTCTTGTTTATTGGGGTTCAGCACGACTTGGGCTCTCCAAAGCCAGCACTGGGCACTCACAGCAGCTGCCAGCCCAGCAGCTGCTGGCCAGGGATGGAGGCTCTGTCTGCAGGGGTGACCCACGTCCTAACCTGTGTCCTGGCCACCTCTCCCCCTCCTTGTCCCCTTTCTAGCCTCTCCAGTCCCTGTCCGTGGCCGAATCGCGCCTCAAGCTGGGAACCAACGTCCTGCTGAGTGCCCTGGGCAGTGACACCAGCCTTATCGCTCTGGACATCAGTGGCAATGCCATGGGGGACACGGGGGCCAAGATGCTAGCCAAGGCCCTACAGATCAACACCAAGCTCAGGTAGCAGCAGATCCACATTGCCCTGTGGATGCCCTTCCCACCTTATGCTGGGTGGCCCTGATACGGTGGTCCTTGTTGTGACGCTGGTGTCATCAGAGGACGCTTATTATGGCTCTTGGTGACCACAGATGTGGCCCTGGACCATTCCTGGCACACGGTCAGATGCTGTGACCGTATCTTGCTCTCATGGCAGTTATCTGGCAGTGCTGGCAGAGAACACGTGAAGGGCAAGAGAGCAGCTCAGTCCCTGCCCCAGCACTTGCAAACTCTCTGTCAGGCTCCTGCACAGCCTGGGATGCTGCAGTCGGACCTTTGCAGTCACTGCCCTCGCCCCACGCTCTGGCATCAATCCCTAAAATGCCATTTTTTGACCACGTTGTGCCCGCAAAGGGAAGGCAGGGGTGTCTGCAGGGGATGGGGAAGGGTCTCCTAGCCAGGGCTGCTCCTCTGGGGGATGTCTGCCCCTGCCAGCAGGATGGTGCCCGGCTGTGTCCTCCCTGCCCTTCCCTCCTTACAGGCACCCATGTACTTTACAGCTCCTTGCAAAGTCCAAGTTTAGGCTTTGAATATTGAGATTCAGATTTTTAACCCCATTTCTAGGCTTTTTGGTGCCTGGCGTCAGCCGTGGGCTCACTCTTCCTGGCACCCGGTGGGTGGGCACCCACCTCGAGGGCTGCATGGGTGCAGGCAGGGCTCACCCATGTCCTTCTCTTTGTAGGACCGTGGTTTGGGACAGGAACAACACAACTGCCCATGGGCTCCTGGAGGTGGCTCAAGCTTTGGAGAGGTAAGGAAGGATCTGTTTGGTCCTCCTGGCTTGCTACTGCCATACAGAAGAGCCTCTGGCACCAGGATGTCACTGTCCCCAGCATCTCTTGTCCCCTTGAAGCAGCAAGTGCATCACACAGTTGCACCCAGGTCCCAAGGGAGTTGGTCCACAGCTCGGGCTTTGCAGCCAGCAAAGCAACCTGCTTCCCATTTGGTGATGGCCCCTCTGTTACCGACCTCAGGGTCTCCCCTGGGCTCTGCATCCTGACCCAGCACAGCCCCGTGTCACCCAAGGCAGCCCCCAGCAAGCCTGGGGGGATCTGCTGTTGGTGGAGATGTGATGCTCCTCTCCTCCCTGTCTGTGGGTAGAAGTTACCCACTTGCCGAGCACACCGTCGGGTCTGGTGTTTGGCCGTGCAGGTCCTCTGGGGGTCTGAAGAGAGAGGGGTGGATGGAGAGCCTGGGTGGGTGGTCGCTGCTGCCCCATCGGGGTTTGCTGACGGCCAGAGTTTGGCCATCCCCATCTGCAGGGCTGGACCTTGGCGCAATGTCCGGGCCGCCGTCGGGTGGGCTCTGGACCGCTGTTACATCCGTGGGGAAATACACGGTGGGGACAAGCCCCACGAGGCCGACGAGGGGTCCAGCAGCACCCACTCACCCCTTGCAGGAATTACACCCTCAAGTCGATGCCCTTGCCCATGAGCGACGTGGCGCAGGCGTACCGCAGCAACCCCGAGAAAACGGAGGAGGCCGTGCACAAGGTGGGGGAATGCAGGCGAGGGGGAGTGCGGGGCTGGGTGCCACCGACACCGGCGGCTCATGGCCTCTTGCCTGCTACAGCTCCAGTCCTGCCTGACGAGGAACCAGCTGCGGCGTACGCTGCCGGCGCAGACCTTCCGGCTCCAGCAAGGCATCCTCACCACCTCTTCCGAACAGGTTTGCCGGCCAAATTGCTGCATGGGGCTGCCCTCCCCTGCCCCAAAGAACCCTGGCTAGCTTGTGTGAGCTCTTGCAAGCAGCACAGACCCCTTTTCACCTTTTCCGAGTGGAGAACAGAGCAGCTTGGAGGGATGAGAGCGGGGCCAGGCAGAAAGGATATCTCCAAGGAACCCTCCTGGTTGCATCCATGCGTTTCATGCATATGCAACGCTGAGATATCGTGCTGCTATGCTACCCGACACGGCGTGTTCCTGGCTCCCTGTGCACGCTCGCCAGCAAATCCCTGCCCTGTGGCATTCCCAGTTATTAGGCAGGGATGCTCTGGGGGGCTGTAACCTGCCTGTGGTCCCCGCCACCCCGTTGAGCAGCACCGGCACATCCTTCTCTGGGAAAGTGGTGGCAAGGAGGGGAACTGGCAGTGCCGCTCCGGCGTCGGCGCATGACGCAGCCTCTCTGCGCTCCAGATGGTGAATGAGATCTGCCTGAGCGTGCAGAAGCATGTTGACATCCTGAGCGCCTGCCCGGGCAGGGAGATGGAGGCGGACATCCTCTGCGCGGAGGAGGCCATCAGGAACGCCAACCTCTCTGTCAGCGTGAGTCCGCCGCACCGGGAAACGCCTCAACTCGCCATACTTTCATTTGGGATCGAAGTGGGTTATCGATCAGTTAACGACATAATTAACTGGCAGTTGGGGAACACCAAAGTTGTCAGTGCAACAGAGGCACGTGACCCAGCACTTGCAAAATGTTAAAGGACAGCTGTGAATTTCTAAATCTGCTTCTAGAACAAAGCCCGAAAACATTCTCAATCCCCTCACCCCAGAGGCACACGGTCGTGTGCGCACTCCCCGGGAAGCGAGGGTCACAAGTGCACCCCCCCTTCAGCAAGGGGCACCCTCTGCTTGCGCACCCCTCCTTGGGGGAGGTGGGTGCTCCAGCTTTGGGCACACCCTGCAACCCACGGATGCCCATGCTGGTGAGAAACACTCCCTGCATCCCTGAGGGGTTCTGCTTTGGGGCAACCTCATCCCACTCTGGCTGGATACAGCTCAGTGATGAGGATGCTCCATCAGCCCATGATGAAGGCCACTGCTTTGGCTGGGCGGCTCCTGGCACTGTCAGCCCTGGTCCTGCTTCTCTCTCCCCATCGCACCTTCTACTCCTCCTTCTGTATTTCTCTTCAGACTGCCTCTTTCTTTTTTTTCCCAAATTTATTGGCACCCCCCTGGGTATTTAATCCGACCAAGGGAGGATTTAAGAAGATGGTGCTGTTGGGGGGGGAAAGGTGGTGAAAGGGATGGGAAAGGATCTCCCCTGATGTGGGCAGCAGCGTGGCTGGGTGTATGGGGAGAAGGAGGATCAGTGGGTGGTGGGGAGCAGTTG